GTGATCACGTCGTTGTGCTGTAACTAAAGCTGCTTCACCTTTAGTACATAAACGACGATGTTGTTGTTTTAATTTTTTCTTTAATGTTTGTTTTACTTTTGCTCGTACATAGTCTTTATCTATTGATAATTGAGATAATTTTTGTGATGTTGATACTGTTGATTGATTATCATCATGATCATCCTTTTCTTCTAATTCTTGTTTATTATCATCTTGAAACGGTTTAAATTGATGATTTTCATTTTCATCGAATTCATCAAGAATAGGAGATGCTAAAAGATGATTACTATCAATCATTTGTGTTAATTTATTCATTTCATTATTTTCGGGAAGAGATGATGTTGGTTTTTCATCTATTTCTTCATCGTCTTCATCATCATCATCATCATCATCATCATCATCATCATCATCATTTTCTTCTTCAACTGAATGGTTATCATTTTCAACATCTTGTCTGAGACCAATTGTTTCTGATACCTAAATCACATGGATATGATAAATTTAAAATACATCCATATATGAATACTTAAAATGTACACATCAAAATAATGAACATTATTACATACAAAATAGGACTGCAAGGCATGATTAAATCACATAAAAATTAAGTCATTTAGAATAAAAAGAATTGTCCTTCATTTTCTCGAAAAACATGATTTTACTTTATTATCGTAAAATTACAGATTTTTGAATATTGCTAAAACAAAAGATTGCTTTCAGTATTGGATGTAGCAACTATTTTGCTCAGCGTAGTATTTGAAATTGATTTCTAACACTGTCTAAGGCTTTGTTACTTCACTACAACCCACTTAGTTGTTAATATTCTCTTTATTGAACACTAAAGCAGACATTAAAAAGACTAGTTCATTCATGTTTTAACTCTATCGATCTAATTTATAGGTTATAATTAGAATACTAGATATGGACCATAATTGGAGAAGAAAAGTCTAATGAAACAAACCGTTTAAGGATTTTTATCTATACTATGGGTCCTACCTATGAGCGAAATATGAGCTCAAACGAAGATTATTAGTTGTATGGATCTCATCGTTAGATAGTAAACAATTTCGCTAAAGTTAAATCTGCTATCCTATTTTAAGAATACTCTCATGTTGAAGATAACAAGATTTTCTCAATAACTTTCAAAATTATAGCGATATTTTAATCTTAGATTGATTTTAAAAAACAAAAATAATAAATGCAATGTTACTTGTTCAAATTGTTTTTCTAATTCCTTTGAAAATCCACTTGCTCTTACATCATTATCCAACGAATGTAAACGTCTACGAGAAAAAATTTTCTTTTTAATTATATTAAAAAAATAATAATGATTAATCTTACTGAATATCAGCAAATTTCGGATAAACATCAGTTTCAAAATGAAAGCGACGTCGAAAAAAATCTCGAATACATTGAACATCACGTTCAAAATAATATTCAGCATTTATATGTGATATGGAAACCATTTGTGGAAAATCAATCATTGTTACACGACCATTATCATTTATCATTAAATTAAATTCATTAAAATCTGAATGAATAAGTCCATAAGATGCAAGACGAACTATAATTGACATTAATTCATCATACATTTTTCCTGGTTTATCAATATCTTTTATATTACATCTAATAAATACAATAAATTCACATAAAATATAATTAAAAAAAAACTGATTTACTAACAATGGATAACCATCAATTAATTCCATAACAACACAATGCCGATTCAAATCAATCGGTTTTGGTACAGGAAATTTATGTTCATATAGAGTCTTAAAAAATAATCGTTGAAAACAAATTAATTAGTTTGAAAAATATACCTTGATAAAAGCAAATTCTTTGAGTGCAGCAAGTCTTGCAAGATATAACCAACTATAACATTGTCTATGTTTAAGATAATCACGTTTATTTTTTAATTGTCGAAAGCATGTTCGACCTAAACTAAACAAAAACAATATAATAAATATAATTTTTTTTTCTCGAAAAACTCCTTTTCTTTACCGATGTAACTTTAAAATCATTTGTTCATCATTTTCATTTGCAACAATATAAACATCTTTAAAAACAAAAAGAAAATCAATTGATAAAAATAAAAATGCAAAGAAAAAATGCTTTTTTTTTTCTTTCAAACCTGATTCTTTTCCAACACCAATTTGATTTCCAACAGAACAGATAATATCTCTTGAAGAAAGTGCTTTTAATGCTAAATAATCATAACCAAGATTTGTTAGACGATAACCTTCATTATTAGACGATTTTCTTTTTGCTGTTGCATCATATGCAACTAATTTGTAGCGAACTAATTCACGTAAAACTTTATGACAACCACCATGTTTCAGTGATGCTATGACAGCTATTAATTGTAATGGTACTAATTCATGATTACGCATACCCATTTCAATCTAAATTGACATTTTTTTTTAATGTCAAATTTCAATTAACAAATTATAAAGCATGAGTTGCTTTTTTTGTTTTTATATACAGTATAATAATAAGCAATTAAGTGCCCACGTTTACAAAACTCATGAAACATTGTTCAAAATACTTAAGTGTTCTAGAAAATAACACTATAATTTCATTTGGGTATTTTTAACTTATTATAAATACTGGTATATTGTTATCGAAATCTAATTATCTGTTCAGATAGTACTTCATGTTTTGTGTTTCTCTACTATTGATAATGTTTCATCTGCAATTATACAACTAATCAATCACGTGCTACTGGTAAACATGTCAAGATGATTTAATAATGCATTGTATAAAATCTCCTTTTTCCAAACATTGGATACGTCTATAATAATAAGCTTGAAACAATTCAGAATCTTTTCTTGTTAGTTTCATAGAAACTATAAATTAGAAATAGGACAATGATGATTTCTTAACAAAATGAGAAATATTTTTCAATATGCATCATTCGCAATATTGAGCTTTACTAACTTTCTAATAGCATGATAATCTATCTAGATGTGTATTTCTATACTGATCATAAATACAAAAACTAGTCGACTGAAACTAAAATATGTCAAAGGAATATTTGAGAAGCCTACTGTAAAACTATGATGTTGAACAATAAACAATTTGCAAATATTTTCTGAGGATTTAATGATATAAATAAAAACTTACCGCTGTTAAAACTCGATAATCTTCTGCGGTTAAATATCGAATTAACGACACATCAAATTTTCCCATGGTGAATAAATTATTTCTTTTTTTCTAGAAATATAAAAAAATGTGTACCTCTCTATTTTTTGAAAATATTCGCATATATATATATATACACATATATACAGAAGAAAAAGATAATGACTCTGTAAAAAAAACTAATTGACTGAAAGAGATCATTGAAAGAAAAAAACTCAATAATATGTATTTTTTGTTTGTTGCGATGTTTTATTTCTAATCTATTGTGTTAATGTTGGTGCCATTGTAGCAGTACATGATAGTCTTCTTGACATAACTGTTTCAGGCGTTGGAACTTTGATGTTCATATATAGTAATGAAGAAATCAATGACGTATTTTTTTGCTCTTCGAATCATTTTCATTGGCTAGAATGATTATAAAAAATTAGAATTTATTTTTTAGAACGTTTTATTTTTGAAAATAAATTAATATTATTTATTAATGTTTCATTAAGATTGATATATCACATAGAAAAATTAATTGAAAACATGTTAATAATCTTTACTATAGAGAGGGCGCTAGTTTTCATTGAATCACAATATGATATTAAGTCGTTTAATTCAGTTTAGATATTATCATTATCAACAAAATTATATCAGATGACGATTGGATAAAAAAAAACCAACATCATTTCGTTTATACAATTCCAAAGACATCATAATATCCATGCGCTGAGTAACGAGCTGGATATTTATCTGGTTACATTCTATTCACTCAAAATCCTTATCTAGCAGCATATGGGTACCGTGGATTCATTAAGTAAATAGCCTAATAGCGATGCCGTGAATCACGATACTCGAGTTATGAATATTATGACACCCCTCGATTGATTGCATCTAAAGAAAAGCAAACATATTGGTATACAAAAGTCGATCTCTTTCGTTTGAAAATGATTGAAATCAAGTTGTTTTTCAAATGACATCGAAAGTACAAAGTTTCGATGTTCAATCTTTCAAGAATAATAAGAATTTGATTTCATACGCTGATTATGAAGTATGGACAGCGCATTGCTTGTGCTTATGCCGCAATGAAAACATGAAAGGTACAACTTCTACTTGTATGTTCAGTAATTGATTGATATCTGAGACAATGTATCAGAGCCAAGAAGAGCAATCGTCGAATTAAAATTCCGTGAAAGATCAGTCTTCACTAAAAATGAGTTATATTCCTATGAAGAAGCAGCAATGATGTACGATCAAAATCAATCGTTTTCATGCACACTGAATTAGAAAAGCGACGACATGTATTGCTATCATAATATTACTAGATCCTACAAGACTTCATTTTACTAACAATGTTAATTAGCAGGCATAATTGTGTTTTTTGCGCTAAAAATAGAATATGCATACAATTATTCCTGAAAGTAATATTCTGTTAGCACATAATTGAGTAACGTCCAAGGAAAAAAAGCAAGAAACTAGAATGTTCCTAAAAGCATATCAACAGTAAATCAACAACAATACTTTTTTTCTTTTACATTGACTTTTATTGTTCCTATAAAACGCAGTTGACAGTGCACAGCAAGTATCATCATCGTAAATTTTTCGGCACTTATATCTTATGTTGGAGAAAAATAAGAATGAAGCGAGACAGAGGATGGAGAAAAAATTAAACCAACAATAATACTTATGTCATTTGTTTGCTGTAGAAGAATAGATAGTAGAAAGAAATATGCATAACAAGGAAATACTGCTGTCAATACATTTCTCTCTTTCTTTTATTTTAGTCCTGTGTGTGATAATACCAAATGCCTGGTTATAAATATCCTAGTATTATAGTTCTTCTTGGACACTCTGTGAAATAATTCTTTCATTTAAGCATGGATGACAATGATACGAGTAATGATATGCACTATGATAAAAAACGTTCTAGCATTAATCGTCATGGAATGATCAAAATTTGCTCATCGATTCTGCTCCCTTTCATGATCGGTTTATTGACTTTAACGGTATCGGTTGTTCAACTTTATATTGCCAGTGAGGAACGAACAAAAGATTTTTCTATATCTGAAGCAAACCGAGATAAAGATCGTTTCATTGCTAATCGAACGCGTGAACAAGATTTGATTATCGCTAATAGACTTCGTTGGGATACTATTTTGGCTACTTATATCAAAGAAATATCTGAAATCTTGACATCATCGAATTTTTCCTCCAGAAAAGTCGATCCACTTGTTCTGACTATTGTCCGAGCAAAAACATTGACTGCTTGTCGTCAATTAGATACTGAGCGTAAAGCATGGCTTATTCAATTTCTTTACGAATTCGGTGCTATTCTTGTCGGACAAAATCCTATTGATATGACAAATGCATATTTAGATGGTATTGATTTGAGTACTTCAGTTTTCAATAGTATTCAACAGGCAAGTTTATCTGGAATTTCACTTAGTGGTGCATCATTGGTTAATGCTTCGTTTGATGAAAGATATCTCAATGGAGCAAATCTTAGTGGATGTACAATGATGGGAGCATCATTTAGACGTGCTCGACTCGACGATGTTACATTTAAAAAAGCAGCACTACGGAATGCTGATTTTACTCGTGCATCAACGAGTCGTGTGAACTTTATCTGGAGTGATTTACGTCGATCAAATCTTGATGATAATCAACTTCATCAAGCTAATAGTTTCTATTTGACTATTTTGCCAAATGGTACATTCGGTCGTCATCCGAATCTTCTTACTAACGGCAATGCTGAAGAAGAACGATCCTGCACTTCGACGCGTCTGACTCGCATACCAAATGGTCGTTGGACAGTGATGCCATCTCGACAGCAAAATAGTATTGGTTTTATGACTATCAATGCTTCACTTGTTCAACATCAGATTAATTGTGGATGGACGGAAAAGATTGCACATTCTTCCATTGATGAGGATAATAAAACCAACGCTGACATTGCTTGGAACGTTGGTCGCTGTTCATATGTTACAACAGCAGTACCTGTTTCACTCATTCAAAATTTCAATATACCGAAGTATTATCAGTATGCAAAGCGTCCATATTATTCTTGGCATATGACTATTTTCTGTGGCATATTATCCAATGTTGATATCAAGATTTCCTTAGTATTGGAAGAAAGAAATGACCAAAATAAGACCATTCAAACGTATGAGTTAGGTAAGTTCAGCAAATATGAAAAGAAAAATAAATAATGACTCATTCAGTATTATTCTATATTCCATTTTCCAAATTTGTTGGGCAGTTCTTCGAAGCTTTGATGATCATATGCAAAATTTTGAGTTTGATCGATTCATATGATCGGAAGTATGCCTTAATCATGCCATCGAAGCCATGATTCAATGGCAAGATATGAACATTAATATTTTCTTGTGCTACAATGTAAAAAATTTCCATAGAATAGAGAACAGGAAAAGGGTTTTAGCAACTGAAACAATTAAAAACTGTTTTTCCTTATTTGGAACGTCGAAAAAAGTGTCGAAGGGTTCTTTGACTCACAATGGAAGGGTTTGTATTGATAAGCGAATTGGATGATCCGGTTGTTATCAAAAGATCACTCTCACTGAGAAACTAATAAATCTAAAATATTAGCTGCGTCTGGCGTGTCTGGACCGAGCAGTACAATTTTGAAGTTATGCAGTATTTGGATATCGAAACATGATAATATATGAACTAACCATATCAGCTCTTAATATATTCATCAGATNTTGGCAGGGCATTTATGGCAGAGGAAGTCAAACAAAACTAAATCAAAACATGAATTCTGTTATATTTTATCGCTTTTTCAGTGCTTTTTTACTACTTTGTTCGCTTGAACAAGATTATCTTTCACCTTGCACGCACATCGGTCTTTTATTTCAATTGGTTTCATAATTATTAATATAATTATTCTTTTTTAAGAATACCAGATAGAGCATTTCTGGACACTTGAGATTCGCTCTTTAATTGATGATGAGACAAACGACGTTCTTTATCAATGATTATATGCACTTTTTCTCAAAATCAAGACCATTACAGGATGTCATATCTAATGCATAATGCTGACGACTATCAAAGATAATGACATAAATTACTTCCGCAACACTCACCATATATTTTCATTATTTTGGATTAATCTCATTAAATATAATACAGAAATATGTAAGGTGTCGAAAATGCAGCATTAAAGTAGAATTTTATTTTCTTTTTTTAAAGATATGGTTAGATAGAGCGTGACCTGTGGATCAAGAATATATGTTTTCATCTTTTTTGGAGTGAGCTTTTAGGGAAAACTTTTCGTTTTTACCCGGTAATCTACTTTTACTGAAAAGTAGGTCAATTTTTGGACATCGAGGAATGGTTGATGTTTTCTGTTTCCTTCAAATTTGAAAACTGAATCTAGAGAAGCCATTAATAAGTGACTTTTCTCGATTCAGATTTTCATGGTCAATCTGAAATAAATACTTTTGAAATTTGATGAAAGCAAAAAAATATTGACAATTTGTCGATTACCGAAATTTGACCTACTTTTCAGAAAAAAGAGGTCATCGGAAAAAACTTAAAAATTTCCTTTAAAAACTCATTCCAAAAAGACGAAAACACATTGTCTTGATCAGCTCGTCACGCTTTTTCTAACCATATCTTAAAAAAAGAGAAAAAATTCTGCTTTAATATTGCTTTTCCGGTACCTTACAGCAATTTTTTTAAACAATCCAAATAGATAAGCAAACTATTGAGTGTTGATTGCTAATGTTTGTTTTCAAGCTTTCGATCAATATTATAATTGACTATAAAATTTTAAAAAATTATGAAATTAAAACTGAAGATAGATGGGTCGTTTTTGTCTGATTGATTGAGAAGAACATTAGCTGTTGTTTGACACATATTAAAGCATATTCAATGCCATCTTAATTGAATTCAATAGAAACAAATCTTATTTTATCAAACATGTTTTTTAATTGTTTTCTAGTGATTAATGACGATACGAAAATTATCTATTTGATACTTATTTTTATAATAAGATGAAAAACTAAATTACTGAAAAATAAAAACGACAAAATTAAGAAATATGAAAATCTTTCTTTTTTTCAAGAGTTTTTTGTGATATATGTTTTAGGTATAATCTTCTTCTATCACCGACACCCTACATTTGACGAAAATCTTTGTTATTAACGAAACTGAAAAAACTTATTTTTTCACAAAGAGTAATTTCTTCAATCATAGGTACCTTCTTCTACATCTTCACTCACACCCACACTCTCAAGTATTGATTGTATATATAACAAGAGACACCTTCAATATAGATAGAACTTTTATTAAAAGTAGATAATGACAGCAAATACTGAAAAAAAATTCTGATGAAGAGTATTTATTTTACAACGACGATGATTGCGAATGAGATGTTGAGCTTGATTAGATGATATTTTCTAAAACGAATCAAAATTGTCGATTAATTGAAGACAAAAGAGTGTTGAAAAGATAAATATACTTGCTGTATTTATCATGGTTGCTCTATTCACATGTTTTATGTCGTTCAAAATGCTTAATGTACTTCTTAACTTGATCGATAGTAACCAAATAAATGAACACTTAGAAGGAATGGTTTATTCGAATATTTTTCTCGCTTGGAAGAAAAGATTTAGAGCTAACAGTCCAATCGCTGATTATCTGCCAAATGAAAACTGTAAATCAATGCATTATTCGAATTTTTTGGTCACTGTGAAAGAAAAGTTTTGATTTAATAAGTATGATCGAACATCATATACTAAATAAACACTTGAAAAGGAGACTTTATTCAGATATTTTTTATCGTTTCACAAGAATGATTTGGAATTAATAGTATTGGCGAAGATTATCTGGCTAATGAATATTTCGCAAAAGAAAGACTTTATTCGACTATTTTAGTAATTTCGAAAGAAAGATTAAGATTTACTAGTTTGGTCAAAGAGTACATGGTGAATGACAATTTCAAAACAGGAATGTTTTATAAAAATATGTTGATCGCTTTCAAAGAAATATTTCGATTTCCGTAGCATGATCGATGATCACATGTCAAATAAATATTTGAAACGAACGTATTATTCAAACATTTTGGTCATTTTGGAGCAAATATTTAGAGTTACTAGTATGATCATAGATTATTTGTCAGATGATCATTTCAAAGGAGGAGGAATGCTTTATACAAATATTATGTGCTTCAATGCCAAGATTTAAAACTGACGACTTGACCGAAGATCACATTGAGAATGAATACTGTATAATAAGATTTCATTGAAATATTTAGTTCACTCGAGAGCAACTGTTTGAAGTTGGTAATTTATCGAAAATTACATAGCAAATGATTTCTTCAAAGGAAAATTATATTCAAGTATTTTGGTAATTTCGAAAGAAAACTTTAGATTTCATAAATTGGTCCAAGATTGTATGGTGAACGAACACATCAAAATAAGATTTTATTCGAAAAATTTGCCTACTGCAAAGAAAAAATTTACAATTGATAATATGATAAAAATCTCATGGAAGAAGAACTCTTTAAAGAAGGAGAGCTTTATACAAATATTTTTGTCAATTGAAAGCGAAGATTTTGTGTTGCTAATGTGATTGAAGATCACGTGACCAATGAATAATTCAAAGTACGTTTCACAATAAGTGCTTTCACTATTTCACGTAGGCTGTAATGATGCTTCATGTTAGTATCATAGTTCTCTTCCACTTGTACTACTGCTCTTGTCATACAAGTTGTCAGTACTAATGCCAATAGAACGATAAAGTAAAACGATTTGGTGATAGTGAGCATGATTGCCTGTTAAGTGTGCAATCACTATTAGCAGATTAGTTATTGATGAATATGTGAATATTTATGATAATACAGTCATTTTCTCTATATTTATACACATATTGATCGCAATAGAATGACGCACCTATAAAAATATCTTTGCGCATCTGAAAGCTACGAAGATGTGTGCATATGGCCATGAAAAAATGCTTATTTGTCATCATTGATCAAAGAACAGAATCGATGCGTCATTTAGGTAGCTATATGCGTTATCATGAACGACGAATATATATTTTTACACTCATCAAAGATACGTCATTCTATACAATATCAGATTTGTACATGCAATAAAGCAGCCGTGATCCTGAGTTTATCTCATCATCGATAGATAAACAATAGTCTAAAAATGATATACTTCATTTTATTGAAGGTTCTGTTACTGATTGGTTATTCATGTGTCTAAATGAATACCTATTTATTCATTGAGAAGAAAATTTACTTTCAATTTTGATATGATATTTTTATCTCTTACGATAATCTTAACAGATTAGAATCTCCAATAGACTGTTCAGTTTCACTGCTAGAAATAAACAAATAGTATAATGATTTTATGAAGGAAAATAGCAGAATAGGACGCATGATAAAGTCCTATTTCCATAAACTATTATTAGAAATGATTTATTAAGAGTAATACTATAATGTGATTAGCAGAAATTGTCTCCGAAACAATATTAAGCATTTGGTTCTCCTTTAGAAATATTGTAATCGTCGATATAATTATGATTGAGACTTAACTGCGTCATTATTTTAGTGTCTTTACAAAAATAGATAATGTTGACTCGACTTTTCTATATTTTTTTCCTTGAATATATTTTATACAAGCAACATTTATATCTCATCTATTTTGTTATTGTTTAATATCAGCATTTCAAATCTTAGAAATATAACATTTTCTCCTAAAGCTACAAGCAATTTTTTGGGCGGTTTCGATGTTATCTGTTAGTTTTGACGAAATTATAATTTCCTAAACCGAAGTGATATTCAGTGTAATATTTAAAATTGCACTAAATTGTATAAATGATTCTTTTTCATACCAAAAGTTCTCATAGAGTCAAAAAATCCAATAAAAAAACTAAGCATACTTTTTTGAGTGGTATTTTTACTGATTCAAATTATTCCGGTTCTTATCAACGTCTTTTGCAAGTAATTTGACTTTACATGACTACAAGGGATGAATTTAAAAATGACTTCACCAACAAATGTCGAATCTGTTCAGATGATACAATCGACTGTTCAACCTCTAAACCGTCACAGTGCATAACGAAAAAGTTACTATGCTCAATCAAAACAACGATATGGTTTTGAATATCATCAAAATAGACTGACATTTCGTTAAATAAATATTACGTCGATTTCTTATTTGAATATGCTAATAGATAGCTTATTTCATATTCGATACATTAAAAAAAAACATCGCAAAACAATAGCGCGTTGTTGTTCTTCGATAATAGAAATATTTCAAAAAGAACACTTGTTCTATGTCTGACATATTTTATGATTGGACTAAGATATAAAGGTGTCTAAAATAAATCTATTTATATATTTTAACATTAAAAAGGGGATTGCTTTTTTTTTCTCAACAAAACAACAAATTTTCATAAACACACTTTTCTTTTTACTTCAAAAAAATAAAAATAAAAATAAACGATGCTGACATATTGACAATATTTTTCCTATCAAATCATATTTCTCTATCTAATTCATAAGAATAGAACTAATCGAATATTTTTCTTATCAGGATGTTTTCTATTTTCTCAATTTAAGATATATCCATATTTCGTACATTTATTATTGAATAAATGAATTAAACAATGCACTAAATAAGTATAAAAAATAGACATCAATTCGAATATCTGAAATAATTTAAGAAACAAACAGTAGAAATTTTCATAGAATTTAATGACCTAGGTGCCCTAAAATACTTTTCATTGATTATCACCACCTCGAAGTCGAAGTACAAGATGAAGCGTACTCTCTGTTTGAATATTAGAATCGCTCAATGCACGACCATTTTCAAATTGCTTGCCAGCAAAGATGAATCGTTGCTGATCAAGTGGGATACCTTCTTCATCGTGTACTTTGTCTTTAACATTTTCTATGATATCACTTGCTTCAACTTCAAGAGTAATTGGTTTTCCAGTAAGAATTTCAACAAAAATCTGTATTGTTATTATTTAATAGTAAGTAGGCATTGAGAAGAAATAAATATGTTTAACTATAATGAATGAAGTAATGTGAGAAAAATTTCTGTTTTTATATTGTATGTCTTATGACAATGAATTAGCGTTCTACACGATAGTAGAAGATTTTAGGTAGAATATTAATGACTCACAGTAAAGTATGACAAACACAGAATAGAACAGAAAGGAATGAAATAGAAAAAAAGTTTCAGTAAGTAATTGGCAGTGGCCGAGAACAGTGACTCATTGAATCAATAGAAAATAATACACTTCAGTAGATACTGGTTGCTTCACACTTTTTCACATACCATGGAAGTTGCCATCTGAAGTAGTTAAAAACAAATAAGAACTTATTTGTATTTTTTTTTTGTTATTTAATTTTATGGAATAATAGGTAATATTTTACGAATGTTGATGACTATGTAATAATAATGTTTGTAGTTGATTGAAGCTCTACCTTGAAAAAATACTTACATTTTTTAGTCTATATCCATAACTTACTTGTGATGTGTTTTAATGTCATTAATTCCTGCTTCATGTTAACTAACACGAATTCCAAATACAATGCAAAACGAATTGTTCTCATCGTGTAAAATATAATAGATTTTCCAATTTTGCTAAAATTCTGAACAATTGTATATAAAATCAAAATTTTCCATATACAAGTATATTCTTCCTTTCAATACGAATCAACATTTTCTATGAACGGTTTTTTTCGGAAGTGATGTGTTTTTTTAATAAAAATTTACTNTACATAGGCATGAGTCGAAATTTCAGTAAAACAATCATAACTTTTGAAGGAAGAGCCATGGGGAGAAATCCCTTTAGGCTATTTACTATCTCAATATACTCGATCGAATGAGATATAAATAAATCAAAACGGAAGGTCTCACCTCGGATGGCTCCCTCATAAGATTATGATTATGATTTTTAGATATTTTAGTTTCAATTACTGATAACAATATAACAAATACTTTCTACTTTCATCATTGTTATGGCACGTATGTTAGATATGCCATAAGAAAAAATGTTATGTATTATCCATATATGTTCGTTCTCTTTCTTTCGTTTCATACATATATGGTTAACTATGTGTGCCTTTTCTTTCGTTCTGTTAGTGTTTTCCCTAGTGTTATTCTTTTGCTTTCTTTCTATTTTTTCGTTCTTTCTTCAACATTAATATCGGGCATAACAATCATTTAATAATAAAATATATACTTTTTCAATCTATTGGATGTTAATCTCTCCATTGTATTTTTCCTTTCGTTCTATTTGAAATCTTCTATAATAAAGAAAAGAATAAGAAATAGACAACAACTTTGTGATAATATGATATTTCTGTTCGATCGAGGGTTAAACAACATGTATACCAGGGCTGCCAACTCCTAATTTTCAAATGGGGTGCAGAAGATTTAAAATGGGGTACAGTTGGGGTACAAATTTTTCTAAAATGAGGTACACTATTGGGGTACCTAATTTTCTTCTGAAAGAGAGTTGTGGTAGGTGAAAAACAGCCAAAAAAGGGTCTATTGAGAGAATAACATTACTTTAAAAATAATTCCACTGTAGAAAGCAGCACACTTTTCTTTAGTTTCAATTTCGACAATGCGTTAACAAGTAACTTGCCTGGAGTGCCTGTTAATTATATACTTCCTCCGTTAGGAGTCGAGAGATCCACTTTAGAAAAAGAACAATGTTAAAGATATCGCTTATGAGAGAATCTCCTCGGGTGTTCTCTTTCAATTTTAATGATTTTTTTGCCTATAGATACTACATTGTATGCTAGTAAAAACCCTTTAAAAGGTTTCAGTTTCTATTGAGATTTAGAAAAGCTATTGAATTTGTAATATGTCTAAATATTTAGAACCCTAGGTCTCATGAAAAGTTATATTTTCGAATTTTGATCTGAAATATTATGCATATAAAGATCTCAAGTAGATTAGCTTCCATAAAAAAGATTCAGAAACTTTGTACAAAGTCTCTCCAAGATGTTAAATTTTCGGAATATAAGGCTTTCCATAAAATAGAATATACAATACATTTTTTGAAAGTCTTGTATCTGAAGGTAACTTCATTCAAAACTTCTGAATTTTTTTATGGGAGCCAGTCTACTTAAGGTCTCTAAATGCATAAAGTTTCAGATCAAAATTCGAAAATATAACTTTTCCTGAGACCTAAGGTCTTAAATGATTAGACATCTTAAAAATCCAGTAGCTTTGCTGAATCTCAATAGGAACAGAAATCCTTTTAGGATTTTTATTAGCACACGATGTAGTATCTACAGGCAAAAAATCATCGAAATTGAAAGGGAACAGCTCAGGAGGTTCTCTCGTTACCTTTACATTTTGGATGAAACGGCACATATTGGGGCACGCGAAAGAATATACCCAAGAAGAAAACCATGGGAGGATGTGCAAAAATGATCTTCTAAGAAGTTGAAAAATGCATCTGTCACTTTTTAAAAGTATAAGATACAGAATTCATTTTCATTCTACAATCTGTTATTCGATAAGAAAAAATACTTTTGCTAAGAAAAAGTGTATTTTCTCAAAATAGAGGTTGTGACGCGTCCACTGTTCCTCTTATCGTCACATTTTCTGTGACACTTGCAGTCAGTTTTTTCAATGGATTTACAGAATGTTTCAGGAACTGCTGTCGTTTCTGTTTCTGACTCTCAATAAATCTGAATTTCACCTTTTTTTGCCGAAATCCTAACGAAAATTGATATTATTTTTCATTTCAGTACAAACTTAAATCTAATTTAGTTTTTTAAATACAATGCGTCAGTTAAATCTGATAAAAACATAATAAAACAAAGACAAAAAGTGAAAGAGTCGTCAAACTTTATTTGGATTTTGGGATTGAAATCAATCGCGCGAAATAGAAAAGGTTAAGAGAAAACATAATGAATAAAATGTTTGCTAATTTACCTTTATCAACTATTTATCAACATTGTCCTATGCAAATGTTTCTAGAAAGATGATGTAAAGTGTATCGAAAATATAGTTGATTTTAATTCAAAGACTTGTTTATAGCAATAAAAGCTCAAAAACCTAAATGGGGTACAAAAAGTGTACCCTAAAGGTACAAAATTTCCTGGGGTACAAAATGACGAAATGGGGTATTGTACCCCAAAATGGGGTACGGTTGGCAGCCCTGATGTATACATACAAATAAAATAGAGAAAACATAGAACACGACTGGTAGCCATTGAAAACATAGACGTATTTATTCTTTTTATTGTCTTGCCTATCTTCGATATATAGATCTACGCATATAATTTTTTCTATTCATTATTTAACTTTAGACAATATGAGTCAGTGACGGATCCAGGATTTTTATGATGTGAGACGATTTGATGGAGACTAGGGGAGATCATGATCATAAAACATAGTATCAGCTTATTTTTAAGCTTTTCTGCTGGGAAAAACCGAACATTTTTTTTGGACTAGGGGTGATCGCCCCTAGCGCCCCCCCTAAATCCGCCACTGATATGAGTGAACGTGGTCGTGGACGTAGTCGTCCTGTTGTACCAGGTGAAGCAACTAGTGAACCAAGTGATACTGCTGGTATCACTCTGCCTACTGCTGAAGTAATTTTTTCATTAGTAAAAATCTTCTTTTAACTAATAATTAATTTCATTAGGCGCCTACTACATCAACTTTAGCTCCATCAGTACCAACACCAACTGTTCCTCCATCAACTGAAACACCAACATCTGAATGGTCAACAACAGAAGCTGCACCAGCAGTTCAACAAAGTGCTATACGTCGAATTGGTGGTGGTGGTACAATAAGTATTTCACGTGGTCGTGGTCTTGATAAATTAGCTCTACATTTGGCTGAAATGTCCATTGGTGAACATTATGAAGGTCGTTCTCGTGGAGCACCAATACATGAAGAAGCTCAAAGAAGTATTGTTGATCCAACAGGTGTTAGTTTTCCTGAACCAGGAACAGAAAAACAAGGAACATCAGGAGAACTTATTGCACTAATTGCAAATTATGTTCGCATTTTATCTGCACCACAATGGTTACTGTATCAATATCATGTTACATTTATACCAGATAATACTGATTCGAGAAAAACACGTCGAGAATTAATTGGTTAGTGTGTTTTTTTAAACTATTTTTTTTTAATATTAATTTCGTTTTATTGGTAGCACAACATAAAGGTGTTTTACAAGATGTTGTATTTGATGGACAAACTTTATATTCATTTAATGATCTTAGTGATGTGAGTATTGATTTATTAAGTAAAAAAAAATTATGATTGTCTTTATTTTAGGATTATGAAACAAAATCACATCATGAAGCTACTGGTCAAGGTATAACTATTCAATTACATAAAGTAGCTGTACAAGGTCCTGAATCACCAATTTTTTTTCATTTATCAAATTGCATCATGAGAAAGTAAATTGAAAAATGAAACTTTTTAAAATTTCTTTAAGTTTTTTTTAAAGATTGTTGGAATTAGCTGGTATGAGAATAATTGGTCGATCATATTATCAATTTGATAAATTGATATTGATCGATTTAGTTTAACTTTATTTCCTGGTTTTGAAACAGCTATTAATGTCTATGAAGGTGTTTTAATGATGAATGTTGATTTATCACATAAAGTGATTAATAATGTTAGTATTTATCAACGTTTACAAAATATTTTTGCACAATTTCAAGAATATAAACTTGCACAAGATACAGCTATGCGAGAATTAGTTGGACAAATTGCCATTACAACATTAAAAAAATCTTTTTTAGAATATTAATTTTTCTTTTTGAANTTTACAGATACCATTAGCTCAAAAAGCTTAAACAAATTTCAATTTTAAGTTGCCGAGCTCGAAAAACAAAATCAGTAACTAACAAAAAAAACTTGTAAGTTTTTGCCATAAAAGTCCTATTGGAAGGCCACCCTTAATAGAAGGCCACCCTTAATAGAAGGCCACCCTGAAAAGTCCGATGTGAATTTCCATAATAGAAGGCCATGGCCTTTTATTCTGGGGGGGAGTTTACCGTCAATATATACGTAGGGCACTCCAAAAGTTTTCCCTCCCCCCAGCTCTCCCAATCCACAATAGTTAATCCACGCTTAATGAAAAAAAAGCATATGTATCTAGTTCAGTTGACGCTATTGATCCGATACAAAAGCTACTCTTCGATGAAGATTGAACAAAAGAATTAATCTTTGAATGTGCTTGAATCATTCTATTGCCTAAAACGATACTTTGCAATTGTCTTCAATGATAAAGATATAATCGAGTAAAGTTAACTATTATCGATTTTTGCATATATTTTATTAAATTAAGAACGTTACGAGATTTGCATTAGTCTCAGTGTTTCATTTTACAGTTATGTACAATATTCAAACAGAGACTGAGAAAATATGTGAACAATAGTAATATAACAGAAAACAAAACAAAAGAAAACAAATCTAGAAAAATTGGTTAGGTCGATAGTCAAAACGAAGTTTAGCATTAGGAAAAAAAGAAATTACAAATTCTTCCATCTGTTTATTTTCATATTTTATCATTTGTACTTCTTCAATGCGTTTAGCAACGTCTTGTAATTGCTGATCGGCATGTAACACTGTCTCATGTTCTTTAAGAAAGTTCGTCGATGTCTGCAATCGTCGCAAGTTGGGGACTATCGAGAAAAATGCACGCAACGACGCAGCATTAAGCGGGCTATCAGGGAGCATGTCGCAACTTTTATAATAGAGACCCAGTGCCATTGTTGTTATTTTAGGAAAACGTGGTAGTAATGTCCAATCAAATTTCTGTAAGCAACATCCATTTGAGATGCAGAGATGATCGATGCGTGTAAACAATCGCTCAACAAATTTAAATAAGGCGAGTGATAATGGACCATCATACTCGCAAAGTACTACTTGACGAATGCACTTGAACGGTGGCGGATTAGGTACATTAAAATGAATTGTATCGGGAAACGCGTTGCCGAAGCTGCGAAAATACCATTCAGTAAATGGAAGCGAAGCAACAATGTTGTCAAAACAAACAACAGAATGTAATGACCAATAGTTGCTTGAAGTTTTCTAAAAAAAATCAATAACATTTAGATTAATTATATGCATCAACAGTTCGGTTCTGCTAATTTTACAGAAAAAGAATAACTGCACTTCGAGACAATGTCTTCAATTCTTCACAAAGTATCGAGTCAGCCCATCTAAGGAAATAAATGACTAAATCTCGGGTAGTTGTAGTTACAGTGTTAAGATGAGTTCTGAAAACAACCGAAATTTAGTCTACGTATCAAAGCTTCAAACTACTTTAGAGATAACTTTCGTCATTTTATTCATTTGTAATAATAAACTGGTGATATACACTTTTTTTTCGTGCGAATGAAAAATTGTTTAGTTCGTACTTTACATCTGAAGAAATGCATCAAGTTCTCATTAGATCGCGGTGTGTCATACAGATATTTTATTTTTCTCTTGATTAGCCTTCTGTGCCAGAATTGAATCACTGCAAAATTTTGTGGTAAATGTTTGTCACAAAAAAAGTTTTCATCGCTAAAAAAATTTCGGTATTCAACTATTATTAATTTCATAAGCAAAATTAATTTCTTTTTCTCTCGAAAACTTTAGACAATTCCCTGTAGTTTTAATTATGAATCGAGTCGTATGTGTTGTAGAATAAAAATCTTTGAAGCTGATTGATAGTTTCATATAAACTTACGTCATTAGTATATTTGAATGATTCAATGTCGCAGAACATATGTTCATCGTCGTTGTTGAAGTAAAAATAGAACTTGAACTTTTTTAATTTAATGCATACATTAATCAAGCCTGTTTCTAGACGATGTCCAGTCATAGGTTCATGCCCAGTGGATAACTTCAATGTGAGATACTGCAGAGATAAAGCAAATTGTTGCACGAACAGTTCGATGTCAATGTAATTAATGCGACCGGAGATCCACAATTCACGTAAATGCTTTGAGAAGGTTTCTCCCAACACACACTGATCAACGTTGTATAATCTATCGTTTCTACGGTATTCAATAGATAAGATGCGAAGATATTCAAGAGATAAGAAACATTCACAGAGAATGAATAACTGATTCAAACCTACGAGAGAAAGTGTAAGACGTTTCAACGACGAACATGATACAATATGGTTGTGTCCGATGGATATCCACATTTTATTGGGAATGATCATGAGAGTTTCGAGTGAGCAGCTCGACTGAAAAATGAGTGCCGGCAATAGTAGTTTGTCGATTTCGCATTGTGTATGAAGTTGAATTGAAAGTGATTTCAGATGACGTGCAAAATGGGGTAGAAAGTTGAGAAAGTTTAAGTCGATTGGATTCGTCTGTATGATGAAAAGTGAATACAGTGATGGAGCGAAACGGATTATGCTGGTTAAGTCGCTATTTATCCGAGCGATCAATATCAAATTAAAAATACCTTTTAAATATTCAATAGGAAATGTTGTTAGATCTACTCGAGAGATAGAAGGATATATAAGTGCATTTAAACGTGAATGATTGAGAGAAAAGACTGACTGAATAAGATCAGACGAGGAAAGAAATTCAAAAATAATCTGAAGTATTTCGTCAGGTAATGATAGGAGACCAGTCGGTTCTATAATAATAAGATTTTTAATAATGGTAAATAAAGTTAAAACAATTACCTGCAGATGTTGATAGATTACTGGTTGTAGAAACCAAGTCCATGTCGAAATATTTCCAATGATACTAAAAAAAAATCATTATTAAAACGTAAGATAAATTCACAGATGCAAGAAGAATTAGTTCGACAGATAGAAAAGATTAACATATTTTATATACAAATTGAAAAACTAAATCTTCTTCTCCGTTATATGCTACTTCATTCGTGAAGTTTATTTACATAACTGTCTGCACTTTTATAACAGCAAGTTGCTTGCTTGTTAGTTTTATTCTTCTATACCTTTGTTCGTATCAGGAATAATCATAAAAAGAGTTTGTAGAGGGTGTTAGATGTATTTTTTTCAGAAAAAAGTTAGAGATAGCATTTATTTATCTATGTCATGTTTTTATTCTTTCAAAAACTATCTATGTATATTTAGTGAGTATTTTCATTATTTCATGTATATATTATCTTTTACACGTTGTCATACATTTTCACTTAGTAGGCGAATTATATATTTTTCATTTGTTTGAGTCTATGTAGGGCAAAAATCAGCCGCTTTCTTCACTTTATTCAATGGATGTGAGCTATTATATGATCGTGGGAAATGACTAAGGATTTAATTAATATATGAGCGTGGCCAGCCGACCTGCTACCCCCAATTCTTGTTTTGTACATGCAGCTTCTATAATATATCAGAAAAACATGATTTCCCCTTATCTACAGTAGATCATCAGCATTATACAACCACTATAACTGGTAAAAAAATCATATTTTTCTGATATATTGTAGAAGCTGCATGTACAAGACAGGAATTAGGGTACCAGGTCGGCTTGCCACGCTCATATGAAGTAGTTTTTTTTACATGAAATTTAGTAAGCAAGCTTTTACAATCAAGGTACATGCCTGATGTAAATTCAATCTCATATCGTAGTACCAGTCCATATGTAACTATTAGATCTATACTAACTGATAACAGCTAATGTTAAGCTGAATTAATATCAATCGAAAAATTCTATCAATTGACATCTTTGAGAAGAAGAGATCTTTAGAAGAATGTAAAAATTAACTAACTTTAAAATGTTTTGCACACTACGCATGTGATCTGAAAGTTTAGCTAATCTATATAGGAAATATTTATGTGAAAATTTTGAATTCAATTAAGCAACAAATAATAAATACACTTCTCTTGTCATAATTCTGTAAATGAAGATAAAGAGAATGTGTAAGTTATATCTAGCACGTGGAGTTTTATTCATAAACTATTCTCATCCGATGAAGATATCTTTAAGATCTTAGCTTATTCGATTCAATGTTTCGGATACGTCAAGTTAAACTATAATTTTATATAGTGAACGCTTCCTCGACAGATGTCTTACTGTTCGGATCGTATATTCAATATGAGTATGACAGTTTGTCTTGGTTAGTGTCAGACTCAAACAATAATCTGATCAAGAATCGATGCTACAAGTTGTCAAATCTTATAAAAAAGTTTGGGACGATTGTAAGATAAATATAGAACATAACTGTGCTGATGGAGATAGTGAGTGGAGTAGACACTGTAGAATGAAACGCCAAAAAAAGAACTTCTTTTATCTGTATGTTTTTTCATAATGTTGAGTAATTACACAAGTATATTGTAACGGGATTTTGGATAGTGCTCTTTCGTTACTACAGCTATGCATATTTTATTTAATAAGAATTGACAAATTGGAAGAGTAGCGCTGCTACCACACTCAATACAGATGTTAATCACACTAGTCGATCATTCCAGTTGTGTATTACTTCACAATACAACATAAGCTCATATCGCAGAGAGAGAAAGAGAAAGAAAAAAAGAGAATAGCAGAACACATTGAGGAAAACGATGATAAACAGAGAATAAAGATAATAAAAAGGACGAGAGAAAAGGCAAATACGACGACGATGCAGCGGTCACTACACTTATATGGGGGCAAAAGGTCAAGCAACGCATTTGATGGGGAGATTCAATTATCGGCATATATATATATATCTTGGAAATCTAAGTGCGATGCTATGCTTTTTGATACTCTGTGGTGAAAAGCCCTAATGTCCGACAGAAAACGTCAGAGAACAATAAACAATGAAATGTAAGTCTTACTAATTATTGTTATTCTTCGATATTTTCTTTAGTTTAAACACAACTCCAATTACAAAATTTGAACAACTGCCAAACGAGTTGATACCAATGTGTTTTGGTTATTTTGATTTCTACTGTTTATATGAAATATTTTATTGTTTAAATCAACGTTTTAAGCAATTAATTCAATATCAGACAAAAATTCACATTGATTTATCTTCAATTCCATCTAAAAATTTTTTAACATTTTGTTTTCAATTAAATCAATTAATAACAACTAGTCAAAACTATCCTTTATCGATTGTAGCTCATGATCAACACAAACTTAATTTAATATTAGAAGATGATTTATTTCAAGAGACATTTTCTAAATTAAAATCATTAACATTGTCAAACATAGATGCTAAAACTATATATTCTATAATATTTGATAAACCAGCAAAGTTATATCAAAGCTTAGAACGATTAAGTTTCCTAGATAAAATCAAGAGAGAAAATGAAGGAAGCGATGACATAAAACGTAAGAATACCAATGCTCAATTACCTCTAAGACACAAACTCGACTTTGTGTATTTAGGCTTATGTAGCAGTTTGATATCATCAAAAATGAAATCATTAAAATATTTGAAGTTAAATTTTATACCATATTGGACTGGATGTGAATGTGATTGGTACACACGTTCAGATTACGTTTATTTAGAATTTATTGAATTAGCAGAAAGAGAAAAATCATTAAGTCATTTAGAAACACTTATTATTGGAGGTAAGGTATTTTAATTCTATGTTCTTCTACACATGTCTCTAAGTTATATCCATAGATATCTCTGGTGATTATTATTATTATACAACAACAACAATATGCTTTCATGTATTGAGAGAACATTTATTGCCATGTCTACCAAAATTAAAAAATTTAGTTATAAATTCAATTCATTTTGAAGATTATGAATGGCGCCAACGAGACAGGGTATGCGAAAAGCATTATTAGAATTCCTTAGTGGAATTTTTTAATCTGAATCTAATAGCCATTCCGAAAAAAACGAGATGATCTCATAAGAATGAACTTATAATTGACTGTACTATCTGTTGGATCGGATTTACCAATGGAGTTTAAAACCATTTTGATACTACTTTTCAGAAAGAAAATTTCTATTAAATTTTTCTGTAACAGGCATCATCAGCTACAACAACAAATTCAATTTTACCATTAAATTTAAAAGTAATTAAAGTCTGGATTAATAGAGACTACAATATCCGAGATGATATGGAAAAATATAGAAATTTAGTACGAAATTTCTTTATAAATAACAGCTCATCTGATGTTACAACAATTAAAATATTCAAAATTAATAATGAAAATGTTTTTTAGAACTTTGTCTGTTTATCATTTGTATGACAAACTTTGTATTTGACCTTTTTATTATAAAGAAAAAAAAATCTTGCAATACTCTTTGTATATACATATTATAGAATAAAACAGAAAAGGAAGTAAAAAATTTGTTGCTCTTCTTATCTATGACATTCATTTTGAAATAATGAAAAGGCGAATTATGTTCTTCTACTTTTTTATATCACAAAATGAACTTCTCATGATTAAAGTTTGTATCATAGTGCTTCTCTATTTTATGGATATCATTCATATCAAATCATCATTCTACAATAAATTGTTCATGACAAANTCAAGAGACATTTTATAAGTTAAAATCATTAACATTATCAAACATAGATGCTAAAACTATATATTCTATAATATTTGATAAACCAGCAAAGTTATATCAAAGCTTAGAACGATTAAGTTTCCTAGATAAAATCAGGAGAGAAAATGAAGGAAGCGATGACATAAAACGTAAGAATATCAATGCTCAATTACCTTTAAGACACAAACTCGACTTTGTGTATTTAGGCTTATGTAGCAGTTTGATATCATCAAAAATGAAATCATTAAAATATTTGAAGTTAAATTTTATACCATATTGGACTGGGTGTGAATGTGGTTGGTACACACATTCAGATTACGTTTATTTAGAATTTGTTGAATTAGCAGAAAGAGAAAAATCATTAAGTCATTTAGAAACACTTATTATTGGAGGTAAGGTATTTTAATTCTATTTTCTTCTACACATGTCTCTAAGTTATATCCATAGATATTTCCGGTGATTATTATTATTATTATACAACAACAACAATATGCTTTCATATATTGAGAGAACATTTATTGCCATGTCTACCAAAATTAAAAAATTTAATTATAAATTCAATTCATTTTGAAGATTACGAATGGCGCCAACGAGACAGGGTATGCGAAAAGCATTATTAGAATTCCTTAGTGAAATTTTTTAATCTGAATCTAATAGCCATTCCGAAAAAAACGAGATGATCTCATAAGAATGAACTTATAATTGACTGTACTATCTGTTGGGTCGGATTTACCAATGGAGTTTAAAACCATTTTGATACTACTTTTCAGAAAGAAAATTTCTATTAAATTTTTCTGCAACAGGCATCATCAGCTACAACAACAAATTCAATTTTACCATTAAATTTAAAAGTAATTAAAGTCTGGATTAATAGAGACTACAATATCCAAGATGATATGGAAAAATATAGAAATTTAGTACGAAATTTCTTTATCAATAACAGCTCATCTGATGTTACAACAATTAAAATATTCAAAATTAATAATGAAAATGTTTTTTAGAACTTCGTCTGTTTATCATTTGTATGACAAACTTCGTATTTGACCTTGTTATTATAAAGAAAAAAAATCTTGCAATACTCTTTGTATATATTATAGAATAAAACAGAAAAGGAAGTAAAAAATTTGTTGCTCTTCTTATCTATGACATTCATTTTGAAATAATGAAAAGGCGAATTATGTTCTTCTACTTTTTTATATCACAAAATGAACTCCTCATGATTAAAGTTTTTATCACAGTGCTTCTCTATTTTATGGATATCGTTCATATCAAATCATCATTCTACAATAAATTGTTTATGACAAATTGTTTGCAGTGTTATTGCTTTTTTTTCAGTTAAGACTTTAAACGAAAGGTTTATGTCAACCATGAGTTACCATTTCAGTGTGAACTATTACATTATTAGAAATGTCTCATCTGAAGAAAAATCAATCTGGTGGTAGCCACGGTTGAGAATATCGCATGAGAATGATTCATGAAACCTAGTACTATGTGGACTGTTGCTTTCCAAATGTCAACTATGACAACGGGAAGAAAGTATTGCGATATGTGTGTGCACCAGTAATGACGAATGATTAGATAAAGAATGGAATAATCACGGTCAAAAATACGTTTTTAAGATCATTTAAGGTAGAATCAGCTAATTTTTGTGGATTTTTACTGAAAAAAAATCGAAAGAGAGAGCAATCGCTCCGTGAACAGAAGTCTCAAAATCCGTTACTAGTGTACACCAAGAAAACATGTAGAAATGATTCGACC